TTTTTTTTTTTTTTTTTTTTTTTTTTGACAATTTATTTGTGTTCTATTAAATATGTATGTATACACTTAAGTAAACATCACCTTTTGATTAGTTGTGGACATAAGAATATATTTTTCATGGAGAAGATGAACAGGATGAACTGAATTTTTCACGTCAATTGTTTTTATCAGATATTACTAGAATCTTAGTATCTTATAGAAAAAAGTGCTGCAATTAATGATATAAACGTGCCACGTTTCTCCATAAATTTGAGTGATAGTAGTGGCAAGCTGTTGAATAGATTTTAGATTCATTTCAATGCTTTCCGGCATGACATTTCTGATGTCAAGATAATAATACATCTTGTTCTTACTGGCAGCAGATTTTATCTTCATGTGTTTTCATTCTTGATTTTGTATGTTTAGTTCTCTGATTGGTTTCTTTCCATCGATTAAAATGGTCAATTTTTTTTCTCTGGTTTTTTCCCTTGCATATTTAGTAAATTCTTCTGATCTTGAAGGAAATCTAGGGACAGCTATTAGGCTAAGGCTTATGGTTCATTTGATGGGAGGCAATCTGGAAAAACTTCTAGACTGCCGGCATGATGAAGTTGTGGCCTCTATGATTTCTGAGGCACCTTCTAGCTTTAGCTAGGAGCTTCTTTTATTTCTAGCTAGCTCTCAAAAATGTGTCTCAGATAGCCAGTGTTCCATTTGAGCTAGGATCAAAATCTTCTTTTGAGTAGGATTGGATTGGCATTGCCATGGCAGAACCTAGTACATTGGGTGTACTATTTCCCAATCGTAACCCTAAACCTATTGTACACTTTTTGTTTTCCTAGAAAGTGATTGAGATTAAAGTGAGTTTCAATCCAGTCGATCAACTAATCCACTCGTAGGGTGGGTTGATGAGATATCTCAATCCAGTCGATCAACTAATGCACAGCATTGGATCTTTGGTGAAAACTCTAATTATGAGATGGTAAGTTTGGGGATCCTTGAAACTGATTGCTTTTTGTAGAGATTGTGGGTCATAATAACCCCTTATGACCTATTAAAATAAAGTTCTAGTAAGCATGATAATATCGTGAGGTGTTCATCCTTGTACCATAGTGATGCATTCTTTGTATGGGTACATCCGAGAACCTTGATCATATCTGATCTAAACTATAAGTTTGATTATTGCTCAATTATCTGATCTTTATATGCACATTCGAGTATTTATAGGCTTAAAAGTCAAAGCTAACCAACTAACAAAGTTCTAACAACTAACAGCCAGCCTCTCAAATGTAGTTAAATCCCTATCAACGGCTGTAACATGGTTAACTTGCTAACGGCTAATTTTCATAAAATAATGGAAACCATTCCAAATCTACTCTTCAGATCTCTAAAATGAGAAATAGGCTCATAAGTTCAGCCATCTATTCAAATTTTCAACCTTTCCAAATCTACTCTTTATGTCTCTAAAATGAAAAATAGGCTCATAAGCTCAGCCTCTATTCATATTTTCAGCCTTTGGGCCTCTACAATCGTCCTAATGCGGGCTGAATCCCTTTCACAGAGAGAAAAATACCCCTTATGACATATTAAAAAAATACTAAATAGGGCTGGATCCCTCTCTCATTCACACCCAGGACCAGAATGATTATCCCTGCCCGATGGGCCTATATCCATTTCTGGATGTGATCGGGTATTGTTCACTTCCCTGCCATTATTGTAACCGTCACTTGTAAGAGGGAAAAGCCAAAATTGAGTTATAGTCTTGTTGAAAAATAGGCTTATAAGTCATAAGCTTATCATTTCCATTATACTTAAAAGACTGCTCTAATATCCCTGAAAATTCAGAGATTAATCCAAACATTTTGGAAGAACGTTGTGTTCGACTCCTCACCTCCTCACCAAAGGTACAATAACCTCCTTCACAACCTACCAACTCTTACACTCATTTAGTGATTGCTCTGCTAGGATCAAAGGTAACTTTAACCAAAAGTCTCATTAGCTTTTCCGCTACAAAGGATCCTATTTCCTCTTCAATTGTTTATGATATCGAATTTGATGATGCATCTGCGTTACATTTAGTTGATATAGTGATCAATGAATTTTGTGTCAAAGATAAATTTGTAGAAGCATTCAAAAGTCTCTTTTCGGTTGATGATATGATAGAAGGAATTCAGTCGATGTTTCACAATCAACATCATTACTAGCGCAAGATCCTTCAATTGTTTCCAAATTTCGTTCCTTAATTGAGGCTTGTTGACTACAGCCCGTCATTCTCCACAAATTAAGATCTAATTATGTTTCACTTGTCTGTTATGATTGTCCAACAATGTTAAGCCCTTCTTGATATTTCATATGCTTTGGAAGTTCTTTTTGTGTTGCCTTCCTATCTTTTCCGTGTCAACCCTTTTTTATATTCATTTTGAAGTTCAAAGGTTTCATTATTGGAAGATTTTGAGGGCTTGTATTTGGGTGGTTTGGAGCTTTGTGAAACCTTTTTTGGAAGATTTTGAAGGCTTGAATTTGGGTGGTTTGGAGCTTTGTGAAACCTTTTATGGAAGATTTTGAAGGATTTTATTTGGGTGGCTGGGAGCTTTGTGCGGTTAGGCATTTTTTAGTTGGTTCTCCTTTTCAAAATTTGATTATGCTTTTATGGGTTTATGTTTTTGGTTGGCATTGTAACAACATGACTTTCCACACACGTATCGTCTTGTTAGAGCCATCACTTAAGATTAAAGGTTTGGAATTTTAAAATAATGAAAAGATGCCAAAAGGTAATTCAATAAAATCATGCTCGAGTGCCTCTTTTAAAGAAATTTTAGAAGACATAGAAGTTGACTGAATAGTACAACAACGCTAAATTTATATCAAAAGCTCCATCAAAATTCCCTAGTACTTAATTTTAGAAGACATGTTCAGTTTCCTTTGGCTACTCCCTCCATTAGTCTCTTTTGTTCGGAGGTCAATGTTCTTAGCCTCTATTTTGGTGTTCTGGTTGGATTATTTTTTTTTGGTTTTTTTGATGTAGAGAATTTAGTATTATTTGAATTGTTATTTATATACTTTGTAATCCTTCATAGTGTTTCTTTTCTTTCACATCTATAATTTTTATTTTGATTCATAATTCTAATTTGCAGGAAAGACAACGAAAACGAGCAGCAGAAGCTAAAAATGCCTCTCCTGCGCAAACAGCAGCAGAAGCCACCCGAAAAATGTTAAATAAAAAGGTTCTACTTCAATTCAGGAATTCATTTTTTAGTTTTTAGTTGCAAACAAATCTGATCAGAACACTGATAGACTTTGTTCTGATTGCCGCGTCTTCACTCTGTGGCTGCCGTTTAAGGGTTGGCTCATAGACAATAATTGGACTAAATTATTGTTTATTTTGTACTGGTATCTGCATTTTTATTATGTGTACTTATTTTAAGTTGTTGACGTCGAAACTATTTTTTTTTTCCCTTTTTTCGAGTTGACATCTAATATTCTTCACTGTACATTGTATTAGTCATTATAGTGATTGTAACAGGTGTTTTCTTTGGTTATTTCTATGCAGAGACTCAGCTCAAAAATCAACTACGATGTGCTGGAGAAACTTTTTGACGAATCTGTATGTTTCCATTCCACCTCTTTATTTCATTAATAACCAATACATTCATACATACATTATATATTGTCTGTGAAGTCTGCCAACATGGGATCTTCTACTGTACCATTCATTCAATTACAAAAAAGCAAGAAAAAATAACTGTTATAAGAAGGAAGAGCATAAAAGCACCTCCCAAATTTGCATCAGAAGAGTTGTGAAATTTTTAGTTCTCTTGCCAATCGAACTGCTCATAAAGCTCGATATTAGCTTTAATTGTGTCTGTCCATGAGCATTCGGCTTTGCCTCTAAACTTAATGCCACAAAGAAGCTGAACAATTTTTGCTACATTTGTCCATCACTGATGAAAGATTGGAACCTTGAAATATCATCTGCTGAAGATTTTGTATGTATGAACAATGGAAGAATAAATGATCTTGTTCTTCACTTGTTTTTACACTCAGGAACGAATTGAAAGCTGCAATGCTTCCAGAGGCATTTTTCTTTTCAACTTTTTTACTGTATGTTCACTCATGTTGTGAAACGAATAACAATGTCTATCTTCCTTGAAGATTTTGACTTAGAGCAATCTTTTAACAAAGCGTTGGAAATCTTAGGTGAATTGTTGAGATTCTTCACCCAGAATTGCGCTGAAAAGTTCCTGTTGAATCCATCTTCCAAATCGTCCTCCCTTGCCTGCAGCTTAGAAACCTCCAACATTGTTAATAAAAAGACAAACCTCCTAATTTCCTTATTGCTGGCCTTCAAACCTGAAAATTTTGGATAAATTTGCACTAAACAAGGCAAATTTTCTATCACAAGACTTGTCATTTGTGAGAATAGTATATTCAAACTAATTTTCCTTGCTGTCAACCAAAATATATTTCTTTTTCTGACTTTTAAGAATTGTTCATATGAATTCATCAAAAGCTCAAAAGATTAAGCTCTCTTTTCAGGTTTTTTTGGCAATGGATTTCTCTGTCTTCATTCAAATCCATGTTTGTATTCACAGATATTATAATGTGATCTACATTGCAGGGTGGTACTGAGCCTTTGTCGAAAAAGAAACGTGAGGAACAGACTGGACAAACTGACAAGGCGCAGAATATGACCAAAGAATATGAATCCACAGAGCACAAAGAAAGTGAGTTAGAGCAGGAAGATGATTATGATGGTGAGGGAACATATGGTTCTGGTCTCTATTATGAGAATATGGATGAAGCACAAAACTACGAACAAGATTATGGCTATGATGAATATGATTGATACCAATATCTCGGATTCAACTTCAGTCATACAAGATTGTAAGCTAGTGTATGTGGTCAATAGTTATAGCTGATCTCAATGTATTTTGCTGCCTTGTATTTATATGAACATGATTTTGCTGTCCCACTTGGTCAATGCAGCCGTTTGATTAAATCATGAGTTCAAAGAATGTCTAAATGATGTACATGTAGCAGAAAAAAATGTTGTTCATTGTGTTTTTGGGCATTAACGTTGAAGTTTATCAATGAATCAGATTGTATCACATAGCACTAATTTTATAGTGAATCCCGGTTCGATACTGACCGCGAAGCGACCTAAAGTACTTTGATACTTATTATAGTTTGTATATTTTGCGTTTATTGTAATTTGGTTTTAAATGTGTAGGTGTATCATGATGGAAATTGTTGAGAAATACTCCATTTTGATCACTTTCTCACTGCATTTTCATGTTGTTTCTTTTTATCCTCTTATAGCTAATCATAGACATTTTACTGTATCAGAAGAATAGTATATATCAATAAACTATTCCAACTCGAGTATGGTTCTTGTATCTAAGTATGACTAGTTTATTATTGCTATATTTTTTATAATTGACATTTTGAATTTATTCACCCATTAATTAAGTTGTTCCAAGCTATGGTCACAATGGAGCTTGTCTTGAGTCGCCATTTTCTTTCCATCTTCGAAAAAACCAACCATTCGAATAACGAGCATATTAGGTTGAAACCAACCCAAATGATTAGGTTAGATTAGTCGGATAATATTTTAAAAAATAAATTGAAATTAAGTGCACTGATCAGGAGATGAACTCAAATCTATACTATGACAAGGTACTATTCTACCACAGCCGTTGCAAGTACGAAATGTGTAATACCAATAAATAAACGTTCTCTAGAACACCTAGTAGGTTATCATGTTGATGTAGAATAAAACGACTAATTGTGATAAAACGGTTTAGCAATATTTTTAGATATTTGTTCTCAAATTAACTCAAAATTTTTTTAAAATAATGAAATATTTTAAATCAACAATTGGTTATTTATAAGCTAGTCGCTTAAAAAGAACCCACAACGATGGGACAACAAACAAAACTCAGATGTAACTCTTCATTAAATTAGAATTTATGTTAAATTTATAATGTTAAAGTCTTTCTTGAATCATTTTAACATAAAAACAATAAAACTAAACTACAAAATGAAAACTTCTATCTAACTAGTTTTTTACTATAAAAAAAAGTTAAATATATTGATTTAGGGTAGATCATGAGCAAGTGACTTCGTAAATGTGCACACATGTCTAGACTTAATAAAAGAGTGCCTTATTGAGTATTTTAATACTTACTTGCCATATATAATTTTCAAGTAAAGGTAAACTATGGCGTGAAAATGTCGAAAAAAGTTGATAGAACAGGTCATAGGATGATTCCAATTTCTTCATGCTTTAGATGATTTTAATTTGTTTTGTATTAGGAAACTTTTGAATAGATAGTTCTTTTCTTAATAAAGTATTTAGCGTTGATTTTTGTTGGGTTGAATGCGTGTGATTTTTTTTCGGGTTGAATGCGTGTGATTTTTTTTCTTTAGTCAATATTCTTCCTTGAATTTTCTCTCTCATATTCTTTGTATTCATCTTGATTTAGTGTGTGCGTTGTTTAGCGATTCTAATACTTTGGGACAGATTTTAGAGCAATTTTTTTATTTTTAAATTACAAAAGTAATGATACTGATCGGTATGTGTGCATAAAATTGGGTTGTCGAATTTAAAAATTTATTATTTTTAACATAATATAAAAAAATCATTATGGCTTGAGAAAAATGCACCAGCCGGGAATCGAACCCGGGTCTGTACCGTGGCAGGGTACTATTCTACCACTAGACCACTGGTGCTGATGTTTATTACCCTTTATCTTTTTATATTTAATATAAATAAAATAAACTATGTTATAAACAAATTATACAATTAGCTACAAACAACTATACAGTGGATTATGAGCCATACTTTGTATATGATTTATTTATATTAAATCATATGAGAAGTTCATAAGCTGCTACAATGGTCGTAAATAATTCGACACATAAAACTTGAAACTATAAAGGAACGATAGCGATCTGAAACTATAAAGGAACGACACTTACTGATTGCTATTTTGAAGACAATTATTCCTTTTACACGGGTTGCAAGTAGATTATAATTATTGTCTTGGTGTATAATATAATGACTAATTGTGAAAGAACAACTTTAAACTACGAAGGTAGCTGAATTCTTAAATATTTGTCCTCGACTCCACTCAAGATTAAAATTGAAATGAAATATTTCAAATGTTAAAAGTATATACTCCATCCTTACATCTTCCAGAGAATCGAAAGCTCAAATTTTTTCAACTAAAAATTACTCAACTTCTAGAAAGTTCACCTCAATTTGAGTCCCTTATGATTATTATTATTATTTTGGTGTAGGATACAATGTCTCTATTATGTGACTTTTAAGTCGAACTAGACGATCCTAATTTAAGTTGGTCATGAGCTAGTATTTTGTTTTAAAAATAAATTTGGTCCATTGATTTACTGTGAGTGTTTTTAATATTTGTCTTTTTCGAGTATAATGTTTAAGTAAAAACAATATTGTTGTGGGAGACAAGGCTCTAACATTTTTATGTTTTTTTAGTGTTTTCCCTTTAATTTGTTACCTATTAAGAAGCGTGTGAAATGGTGTATTGATCATATTTGTGTAAGATTGAAAAAAAAAAACTTAAACTCATAAAGTAAAGAAATCTCTCTTTTACTCCCTCTCACATTCACCTACGAGATGAGGTAGGGAATATAATCTTCTTTTTCAGCTCCATTTGGTTAA